TGTTACCAATTGTTTTCTTGGTGACTATGGTCCCAGCTGCCTTGAGTTCATTAACAAGATCCTCCCGTGTAGTTCTGGGCTGATTCCTCAAAGTTCTCAAGATCATTGAAGCTCCATGTGGTAACAACTTGTATGGAGCACCAGACCGAGGGAGACTAAGAGTTATTTTGTGTTTCTTCCATTTGCAAATAATCGCACCAACTGTTGTCACCTTCTCACCAAGATGCTTGGCGATGGTGTTGTAGCCCATTCCAGCCTTGTGTAGGTCTACAATCTTGTCCCTGACATCCTTGGACTGGTCTTGGCCATGGTGGAGAGTTTGGAATCTGGTTGATTGCTTCTGTGGGCAGGTGTCATTTATACAGGTAATGAGCTGAGACTAGGAGCACTCCCTTTAAAAGAGTGCTCCTAATCTCGGCTCATTACCTGTGTAGAAGACACCCGGGAGCCAGAGGTCTTGCTGATTGATAGGGGATCAAATATTTATTTCACTCATTGACATGCGAATCAATTTATAACTTTTTTCACATGCATTTTTTGTTATTTTGTCTCTCACTGTTAAAATACACCTACCATTAAAAATATAGACTGATCATTTCTTTGTCAGTGGGCAAATGTTCAAAATCAGCAGGAGATAAAATACGTTTTCCCTCACTGTACTCCTTTTCCACACCCCTCATTGTTCTTTTATTTTAGTTAGTTCACTATTCAGGGTTTATGCCCCATTTTGAGGGTGTTGGTATACTCAGCTCCAATCCCTATTAAATTGTTGCTTCATTACTAGACTAATGTTTCCTAAATAAATTAATCGAACTTAATTTGGAAGCCCAAGGTGGCAATGCAACCCTATACGGGGTAGCTTACCTCTCAAGGGATCCAAATAGACACCTTAAAGGGCACTCCAGTGGGTGTCCTGGGGCTTAACCCCTTGTTATTAAATCAAAAAAGAAATAAAAACCCAGATCACTGGAAAAACATTCAGCGACAAGTGTTTTTGAACTGGAATCAACAAATGACCTGAAAAATGAATAACTATAATAAGCCAAAATAAAAGGGGTCTACTAGATCCAGATCTTCGAGACTCACAAAAGTGTAGTGATAAAAAACAAAATCCTTTCGGCTAAACCTCTCTTAAATCCACCGTATTGAATCAAAATTGCAAGACTCTCTGACTTTATTAATAATTAAATGTGTCACAGTTTGCATGATTCATATATTTCTACCTCAATAGAGTTACGGGGAGCATCCCTAAAATTGCTAAAGTGACCATAGAGTTGAAAAAGATAGGCAACTAAGATATAGGCAGTTAAACGTCCACTCAGTGAAAGACCATTCAAACCATTCGGTCTCACTGTACCGTGTGAACAATATAATATCTGCTACTGTTGCCAATATTTATGAGGTCGACTGTAGACAAAAGTATCTAGTCAGAGTAAGTATACAGTATCTATTTAAAAGATATATATATTCAGCCAATTGGAAACAAATTCAGATACTGATATAAAGCTTGTGCAAAACTGCTAGACACAAATAGGGAGCTTGAAGAGAGGAAAAAGAAAAAAGATTAAACTAAATAATAATCAAGGGCAGAACCATACTTAGAGTGTTGGTTACCTGCCCTTAGTGTAAGGTGCCCAGTGCGAAAAAGTAAAGTGAAAAGTGACAGGAAAACCTAAATACCCTGAAAAGAATTTAAAAAGTCACTCATTCACCCTTATCATTAACTTCAAAGCCACAAACACATCTATTTATCTTTAAATAGTAAGGCACAGCTAGTTGACCTGATCAGAAGTTACCTGTAAGCTTCCAACACTGTGAAAGAGATACCAATTTTGCCATTTCAGTCTTCAACATTGTCTAAACCAGTGGTAGTCAACCTTTTTCTTCCAACCGCCCACTAATGCATCTTTTTGGTTGAAAAAATGTCCTTACCGCCCACCAGTTATTGTGCAAGTGCGGAATATTTTTTAGAAAGGAGGGTGTTTTAAAAAATAAATAAATGTACGTACATTTATCTTTTTATTTCTACTTAATGCATGTTTATAATGTTTTTAACTTTATGAAGTTTAATGAGAAAACAATAAAGTAAATTGAAATTACCTTTACTAGTGATTAATGAGATTCTTGAGGTTGATGCTGCAAGACTAAATATATGATATCTGGTTCGATTTTCGTAAGGAACAAACGAAGGTCTCCTCTTTCGGTGATATTCAGACAACTTCTTTGTTTGCGCATATGATTTCTCATCTGTGCATCAGCTCCCCTCCTCTCCCTCCTCAATTCCCCTCCCCACCTTTTTTTCACTTTTTAAAAAAAAAATTTAAACTTCCTTATAGCAATGCCCAGTAGGAAGGCTGAGCTAGGTATCCCACTTACTATGACTTACTATAGCCCACTACAACAGACACGCACACATACATACATACAGACACACATACAAGACACACATACATACAGACAGACACACACACACATACATACACACAGACATGCACACATACAGACACACACAAACACACAAGACACATACATACATACAAACAGACAGGCACACATACATACAGACACACACACAGACATGCATACAGACACACACATACAAAGACACACACAAAACATACATACAAAGACACATACACACATACAGACAGACACAAGACACACATACATACAAAGACACATACACACAACACATACATACAAAGACAAGACACACATACATACACACATATATACAGACAGACACACACACACACATACACAAGACACATACAAAGACACACACATACATACAAATACACATGCATAAGACACACATGCATACACCCACATACAGACACATACATACAGACAGAAACACACAAGACATACATACAAAGACACATACACAAACAAACACACACAAAATATTTTAGTCACGCTCCTCTTTCCTACCTTTTAAGTGCAGGAGGGTGACTTTCCCTGGGGTCCAGTGGTGGCTCAGGTGGATGGGAGTCAGAGTTCCCACTCTGACTCCCTCCTCCTCCTTCCTCCCGCCTTGTCTGTGTGTTAGCTGGGAGGAGTGGCGTGCAGTCACTTCCTCCCAGCTCTGTGATGTAATCACAGGGGGGCCCGGTTTCGCTGTTAAAGCGCCCACAGCTGACCAGGCCCCTTCACAAGCCACATCCATTGGGTGGCCCTGACAGCATGGCCCCCTCCATATGTAGCCCTGGCGGTTTGCCGCTCGGGCCGGGGCCGCAAGTGGTGATGGCGGTACCCGGTCGCTGGGGTACCGTCGGCTCGCACCCGCCCGCCCAATCTCTCAAAATTAGAAAATCCCTACCGCCCACCTGGAATCCTGAACCGCCCACAAGTGGTTGACGACCCATGGTCTAAACACTACTGGGACAAAATGACAAAACGGCTGGGACAAAATGGGACAGCTTTTCATTTCTGGTTATTTGTTAAACTTTAATTTCAATTCATTTTCTGCCATACAGGCTTGTGGGCCTAGCTGAATCTTTCAAAAGCCTTCCTGTTTCTTAATCTTGAGTCAGACACGGTAATGTGGAACTTTGGTCTTACTGAGCCTCAACTTCAACTGCTATTGAACAGGTCCATAGACTAGAGCCACACCGACAACCCCTAAAACATAACCACAAGCTGTAATAATATGCATATTAAACTTCAAAGACATAAAATATTATGGAAGCATACCACTACAGCTCTTCGCCAGAATGCAATAACTGTAAATTATTCAACACACTTTTGTCTCAGAGTTAAAGAGTCTTCTCCAAGGTTTGTTTGGAATAGTTTAATAAAACCTTGTATTTGGGCTTGCATTATAATATTCCTTATCTTTGTGATTCCTTTGTGATCTTTGTGTAGCTCCACTACCCTATACCATAGCTATCTTCTGATTAGAGCTTTCTATTGGTTTCCTCTTTGAGGTATTTCTGTATGTTCTACTCATTATTGGGGTCCAGGCCCTGAACTCTGTATGCTGGCTCAAGCCTTTCTGGAACAGCTATATGCTGTTTTTCTAAGAAAAAAATAATGAGTTTGAGACCAAGGTCTTGAGATATAAATGTCTACCGATAGCATTATTTATTTGGTGGAGGCAAGGATTTGGAGCGAAGACACTGTTTCAGAACTTTGAGGCAGTGGATATAAAGGCTTTCTTAATACATTAGCAGATTAATAGTGATATTTTATCATTACTCTGAGTCCTACACATGAATAAACAAAAAACAAAAACAAAAAAAAATTCAAAATCTGCTACTCCCAGGGGTTACTAGTTTGATTGGGTCTGTAGCTATTATGTTCTCTGTCCATCTCCAACTGAGAATTTTGCAGATCTGGTCCAACTGTTACAATGACACTGCAGCATTTCATATTTACAGTGTACATAACTCTTTCATAATTGTTACACTACCATTCAATTAATTAGAAATTCCTTGTACATTGCTTATATGATCCGATCAAGCACCTCTTTTACTTATTTACTAGTGATCTCTATGATAATGCACTGCCTTTGTTTATCGTCAATAAGCCTCTCTTGAATAAAAAAAGAATTTAAGTAATAACCATAATCCTATTCTCTACATGCAGGAAGGCTAACCAATAGGTTGACCATTCTTCTCTCACACAACAGGTAATGCTCGTGCCATTCATTTTTAATGTGTAGATTGAGATAAAATTATGATATTCTTGTCTTTTTCTTGAATGCATAGTCCCAATAATGTTTATTTTATTACCACATTTAAAGAGTTAATATTCTGTAGGATCCAAAATATCATGTCAGGGCTTTCGGTTCTACATGTTTAGCACACGTTTCACCAACAATGTAAAGTGCTTGGTTCAGCTGCAGTGAATGGGAGATGTTTCCAGATGATTGAGTACATTGGAATATGTGATGACTATGGGCTTCCGAAGCAGACACTGATGAGCTTTGAGTTCTATTGTTCTCCAATATTCCGGGTCTCCTCTTGCCAGAGTATAAATTCTGAGTCCCACTGAACCCTCAACATCAAGCCTGGTAGCTCCAGCAAGACACAGCTCCTCAGGTAAGAAGTGGAAGTAGCAAATACATTGAAATGTGTAGTAATTGAAATAAATAAGGCATTCACAATTTCATAAATTTCATATCTATACATTTCCAAGAAGTAGGACAATCTTTGTTTTTTAATCGGGCCTCTTGTTACATTTTGGTCATACTAAGTATTTTGTTTGTATTTTATCTAAGACATCAAACCACAGCAGTCAATTAGAAGGTCTACACATCATGATTAAATTCATAGTTTCATTTATAGTCTAATGGACATGCATCATTACACAGTATTTAATATTATTTTATTATTCTTGCTTATTTTCTTGTGTATGTTAACGTGCCGTTTATTTTATTTAGATATTTTAAGAATTTAAATACACAAAATGTCTCAGACACCCAAAGCTGCTGCTGCTGCTGCAAGCCAGGGCACTGATGCCAAGGAAAAGGGTACCCCAGGAACAGTTCCTGTTCCTGTTACAAAACCTTCAAAGCAAGAACCTGTTGTGGGATCCTTTAAGGTAAGTGTGCCAGCAGTGGTTGCTCTACTATCACTTGCTTTATATATCTTTTTGTATCCTTCAGGTGGCAAAGCAGGGTTACATTTACAGCATGGTTGTCCATTCTAACTATTCTTAAGTGTAGGAGGAATATACTTCTAACAGAATATTGAATAAATAAATTTAAATTAACCTGGAAGTCATTCTTAATCTAACATAACCACCCTGTTAGATGTCAGCATGTTCCTCCTCTATTTTTTTAAACACATACACGGTATGTGATTAAAGACTTTAAAAATGGCCCTTTGAGATTTAAATTTGAACATCAACACAGGCATATAAATATTATGGCATCCTTACAGCTATAAATGCAGATGATAGTTGATTACTGTGCAGTGGTAGTTGACTGAATACAATTGCAGTCATTCTATTATTTATGAAGCAAAATACTACTGTAAAAGGCAGTTTAGAATTATCAGAAGAAAAAAGAATATTACGATAATGTGCAATAGTACATTATTGCATATGTCAGTGCAATAGGTATATACTACAGAAACAACCAGCAGTAATGCATTCATAATCTGGGCATTTCAATCAAATGTCAAGCAAAGGATCCCAGATGATATGACTGGCTGTTGAAAGATAAAATTAAAGAGAAAAACACTGTGGATAATATTTCAGCAGTGCTAAAGCAAACAGGCCTTTCAGTGGACTTTTAGGAAGCCATAGTAGAAACAAGAACTTCCTTGATGAACCATGACACAAGCGTTTAAACGTTCATTTTTTTCCTTTACTTTAACTTGCAAACAGATCAGATTGTGAAACGAGAATTCAGATCATAGATATAATTGTCAGGGCAACACGATATAAGCGATTACAGCAACATTACAATGAGTCAAGTAATGAAGATCACATGGCAATTAATCTTAACATTAATTTCCTTTTTGTTTATCTGAAATACAGCCATATGCAATAAGACATATTTTCTGCACTTATGTTTATTTATTATGTTTAAATGTCTAGCTCCACTTTTTAGCTCACAAATTAGGAACAGCATTTTAAAGAAAATAAAAGCAGTTTGAGACACATATTTGCATGGAACACAGGAAAGAGGATTTAAAGATTTAATCTGAGAAATTAAATGTTATTTCATTGACTCACAATTTTCATTCTGATATTCTATAACAAACAACTTTAAAAAAGACAAAAAAGATGGTAAGCTAGACAAAATGAATATGTTATGGAGCAGAATAGCTAATACCATATATAAAATGCTGTTGGGCTGTTCATTGAAAATGTACCTGTCTGTAGCAGGTTGGGGAATTGCTACATTTAGCCCAAAATGACCACATTAGGTGGGAACCAATTGTTTTTTTTTTTTTTTTTATACCTCTGCCATTTTGAAGATTGTTTTCATGTGATATATGTTATATTAACATGCATGGTTATTAACTAAACTGAAAAAAAGAAATGACCAAGGAATTTCAAATTTTAAACAAAAAAAAATATCTGGAAATAGAACTGACTTGGATTTTTTTTTCTAAATTTGACAATTTCTGCTTAATATATGAAATTTTTTAATGAATTCATGACAATTCCCAATTTAGTGAATAACTTTAAAAGCTTTGTAGACTGTTATCGATAAAAATACTCACTGCTTAGAATATCAAAATGTAAACATAATCAAGAGATACTTAAATAATTAAACTGTAATAGCCCTTAACATTAGCATATAGGAGCCTAACTGTAAAAAGACAACAGAGTAAAAAGAGCTATTATTTAAGGCAACTTAATTTTTTATTTGAATATATATATATGTTCAGTAAAATAAATATTAATATTGTATTTTTTAGGTCATAATCTTTGAGCAGGAGAACTTCCAGGGAAGGCATATGGAACTTCTGAATGAGTGTTTAAACCTTGGAGAGAGAGGTTTTGACAGAGTACGCAGTGTTATTGTCGACTCTGGACCGTAAGTCCTGGAATTTCCATATAATGTTTGCATTGTGCTTGTCACAATTTGTACGTGTCTTCCAGAATCATGTTGTGGCATTTTGATATTGACAAATTTATTTTTGATTCGTTTTGTCAAAGAGAGTATTGAGGTGAACACAGATTTGTTTGTTTTAGCTTCAACCTATCTACCAAGGAATTGCCACCAAGAGACATTGACAGATTATGTCCTGATGGCATCTTTTCCTCAGAACAAGAATGACAATGACAAAAGTACAAATCTCATGTATTTACAATTGAGCTGAACGGAGGGTATAAATTAAGTCTAGAATACATGGTATACATAATTTTTATATAATTTAGTAACAGAAATATTATAATTCCATACTACCACCATATCTTATATTAGAATTTATATTTTGGCTATTAGGAAGACTATGCATTAGACTATGAATTGGAGAAAAGGTAAGTAAAATGCCTTTTTAGGTTTTATTGCAAACAGGAAGGGCCTGAAACTTATCCAGCATTAGGATGCGATAGTGCTAGAAATTCAGGCTTGTATCCCTTATGCTATAGTGTCCCTTTAAGGCCTATGGAATGATAAAAATATACATTAACATCTGGTGCATAAGCAATTTATGCTAAGATTGCTATCTCAAATTCCATGGCTGAAAGTGTTTCATGATCATGAAAGTTTTCAAACTTGACACTTTACTAAATGCTTAACTTAGTCACAAATATATTTTAATGCAAGGACATTTAAATCATAATGGGGATGGATTTTGTGTGTTTTGACTGCCAGAGGAAGACTGTGTTCCACTCTGTCTAGAAATTGAAGAGTTAAATTGTTTTACCTGACTCCGAAGCAGAATTCTGTTGTATTCCCCTGTGCTGCCTCAGGCATTGTTTGTCCCTATAGTATTTAATGAATGTATCTATCTTATTGTAGTAACTCCCACATCCTTATTACTTTAATCCCACATCTCAACATCTCCAGGGGCTCCAATTAACACATGGATTATTAATTAGATTTACATTCACATAATGAGAGGGATTTTCTAATGTAATGCTTTTACTGTTTTATTTCTGTCCACATTATAATAATTATTTGCATATAACTACTGCATTCTAAACAAATAAAAGGAGTAGCAAATCATGGGCACACACCAGAGCACGCAGGCTTTGCTTTGGTTTTTATATAAACATAGCAGTTGTTTTATAACTGGCTCACTTTTAATTATAAGCATTGGTAAATTTCATCCTACTTAATCATCTAAACTAAAACTTTGTAATTCTGTATTTGATATGTAAACATTAAAGAAATATTCCACTCTTAGAGCTCTTCAGATTGCAGAATTGCTATATGGCTTTGGAGTATTCCTTTAAAAGTCCATATTATAAATGTGCTAATTTCATTGTAAAATTAGCACTTTTATAATTAAAAATAAAAACATGTGAAATAGAAATTCACTTCTCTGAGCCAATGGAAGTAGCAGGTGCATTCTAATAGAGTGCACTTGCCTACCAAAATAGCCCCCAAAGAATTCTGGTTCTTCCCATCCTTGGTAATTCTTTTTTTTCCTTGCAAATCCCACATATATGTGCATTCCATTTGTCAAAATTCTTAAAAATAAAATGTTTAAAGAGAAAAAGCATATGAGAGTGCTTACTACAAAATATTCTCGCATTTACAAAAACTGTGAGCACAGTGACTTGTAGGGTTGTGCACAGATTCTTCTATAAGAAGTCTCTGTTTGGACAGTTCTCCAAGAAGAGACTGAAAGTCACTTCCGAAAAAAAAGTTAAGGGCTTACAAAGGCTGCAGTCATAAGAACTTCAGCTTTTGCAAGATGTTTTAGACTATACCCCTAAAGAATACATGCATTTATTCAAATATTTTATCATTATGAAATATTCTGAAATAATTCTCATTACTTTCATTTTTTGCATGTGTTTGTCTTCATGTTTTGGTTTGTCGCACCATCCTCTTTCTCTCCTTATGATGTGATTTGTGACCCACCTGTGAACATCTTCTCAGCTGGGTTGCTTATGAGCAGTCCAACTTCCGTGGCGAGATGTTTATCTTGGAGAAGGGCGAGTATCCTCGTTGGGATACCTGGTCTAGCAGCTATAGGAGCGACTGCTTCATGTCCCTACGCCCCATCCGAATGGTGAGACCTAGAACTTCTATTCTTCTAATATTCTGATATGGAAAGCAGATCATTATTGATTGATAAGTCCTAACACCACAATACCCTTGCAATTAAGTAAGAATACTATATTGATGGCTCTTATTACATACCACAGTGGATGGTTAGTGATGCATTTAATCCATGCATCTCTACGGGAAACTTTAGCAACGTTCAGAGTCAAAAGTTGTTTGGGAATGTGACGGCAGATAATAACCATTCAGCCCATCTAGTCTGCTCAATTTTCTAAATACTTTCATTAGTCCCTGGCCTTATCTTAAAGCTAGGGTAGCCTTATGCCAATCCCATGCATGCTTTAACTCCCTCACTATATTAACCTCTACCACTTCAGCTAGAAGGCTCCACTACCCTCTCAGTAAAGTAATACTTCCTGATAATATTTCTTTATTATAAAGGACAGCAATCCTGCACCAAAACCACTACATTAAAATGTAGGGGCGTTGCCTCTAAGAGTTTCCTTTTAAGTCACTAAGATTGCTTAAATTAGGAAAACCAAACTATATTCCTAACATTAAAGTGTCCCTCTGCCTCCATAGCCCCCCAGCCATGAAAGAGTTAAATAACCATGTAGACACTTACCTTTGTTGAGCTCCTCCGACATCAGCCGATGTGGGAACCTAATGCGCATGCGCCGTGAGTGACACATGCGCATTAGGCATACCCCATATGATTGCAGTGACTCAATGCTTTCCTATCGGGTTTTGAAAGGTGCTATATTGCAGGGTTAAGGGGTCAGGAACAGTGTACCCAGACTACTTCAATAAGATTAAATGGTCTGGGAGCCTGTAGAGTTCCTTTAACACTATCATACTAACACTGTGTATAAAGTTAAATTTTAGCATAATCTGGAATTTTTGTAGAGTAACATACAACTTGCAGGTTTCTAAAATTGCAGTGAAAGTATTTCTTAACTTACCAATGTTTTTACAATGGCTTTAAAAGTATTTATGTTGTCTAATTAGTTTGGCCTTCAAGCATGCCGCAAGAACGGGACCTACTAAATACTGCAGTACGTTAGCCTTGAAGTGAGATACGAAAGTCAGGCAACGTCACTTTCCACTCTTAAAACTATTTATGTGTGGTTTTGCATAAATCTCTATATAAACAATGGCTTAGAGAAGGAACACAGAGTAAATCTTGCATTAAAGCCAAGTTCAGGAATTAATCGCATTGCAATATTTTAAGTGATAGTTTTACATGGTCAGAAGCTTTATAATGATTTATTATTATTCGATAATTTTTCTGTGGGTGTTCTTAACTTAGAAACTACGCAGCTCTCTCTTCTTTTATTAACAAACATCTGCAGAGTAGGATAAAATAGGGTGTAATGGGATCAGTTCAATTTAGCAACAAAAAAGAGCAATTTTATTCTGGTAGTATGTCATTGACTGCTATTGTTATGCAGGGTTACGCTGGCTGATATCCCAACATTTTAAATCATGTTGCCCAATCCCTTGTGCTAGGACACTAAAGCTATATTTCAAATCAACCTAGTGAATATCATTTGTCCTTTTCCAGAAAAGGAGTTGAGACTTCTTGTAGTTTTATTATAAAACTATTTTATTGAAAAGTGTGTTTTATTGCTAACTCCTTTCCGTGGTTAAAGAAGAAAATTTGATGCAAAATGTAGTTATCTCAAATACGTTAAAATTTTAACTTTGTGAAAATATATGCAGACACTGAAGGGTGATGATATTCACTGTGAGAAAAAAATTTAAAATAATAACAAAGGTAGGGGATATAATGTTTCAATTTTATATTTAATCTAAATATCAAATTACCATTATGTTATAAGAAACCTAATATTCAGGAATTTGCAAGCAAGAAAGCTCCATATACTAATAGTCAAATGCGAGGATATTCTTAGAAGACTAATCATGTATCCCTCATTATTCCTATCAAATATCCCTTCTTAATCTATTACTGTTGTCTGGCCTCCTCAGGATAGCCAAGAACATAAAATCACCCTGTTTGAATCCGCCGACTTCAAGGGCAACAAGATGGAAATCATTGAGGATGACGTGCCCAGTCTGTGGGCCTATGGATTCTGTGACCGTGTGGGAAGCGTAAGAGTCCCCAGTGGAACGTACGTAATTTGTACCTAGCTTGTTTCCGCTTTCCAAGTGTTTCACAACTGCCTTCTTTAGGGCTAGACAAGCTCAACTAAGTGTTGACATCTGTATTCAGAAACATAACTTACAATATTGTATTATTCACAACAAATGTAATAATATAATACATTAATGTAACATTTTGTCTTTTACTAACACATTTCTGGGTGATTTTGCTAACAAAATGCATAGAATACATTTGTAGACCTGCCTGAAGCTGATCCTTCACATATTATTCAAATGGAAATTCCACTTTAAGCAACTTAATAATGGCATTTGAGTGGTAGAAAATGTATTTGTCCAGCCTCTTATCAAGTAATTCAGGGTCATACTGAAAATATTAAGGACTCCAGTCCTCCCATTAATTACTCAGAAATGTTGCATTAAAATTCCAGAACCTTAGACTGTTGGGTCAAAGTGCACTACAGCAGAATTCCTTACCCGGCTTGATGGCAGCTATGTTTAAAATATAAAATCTGTAACATCTGTAATATCAAACAAATAAGCTTATACATCATAAAATTAAAACAGAGCTGAACTGGTACTAACATATAGGAAGATACTGTTAACAAAAATATTGTCAGGTGTCTTGTGTTAACTTTACACAGGCATACCCTATAACATATATATATTATCACTCTTCTCTACAGATGGGTTGGATATCAGTACCCTGGATACAGAGGATATCAATATCTATTTGAAAATTGTGATTACAAACACTGGAATGAATGGAGTGCCTTCCAACCACAGATCCAGTCCATCCGTCGTATTAGAGACAAGCAATGGCATCAGAAGGGATGCTTCCTTATCCCTACCACTGCAAGCACAATGTGAACACATACAGAATGACCCCAGTTTGACAGAGATCTATCAGGAATCCATGTTACAAATTGACCTCACCCTATTTTTTAATCTACTCTGTCAAATATTGTACATTGCTCATTTACTGGATGTTCTTTACGTTATGATGCAAATAAAAACAATTTCTGAGGTAAAAAAATGGGTTGTTGTTTTTTTTAATGAAAATATGCCTAATACCTAAATATAAATCTCACATAAACAAAATAAAATGGTAACTAAAGCTAGAAGAATGTTTGCTGGTGCAAAGCGCTTCTACTGCACCTTGTTCTCGTGGACCTCCCTAACCTCAAAGCCTCAACCTTCTCACCACAAAAATACTAATTTCCAGAACCAGCATGGAATCAAATACTTTTTTGATATTATTAATGAATAGATTAGTGGTGTAAATGTACCCCAGCATGTCTAAGTCCAGTAATGTCAACTTGGAAATTGTCACAGGTCATGACTTTTTCTCCCAGCACTTAAATCTACCCTGGATAGGTGTCTTTTAATTTTCCTTTTGATTCACAGCCCTACTTTCTTTTTTTTTTGCAGTGCATATCAGTTTAACATCCCCGCATGAGGTATCCCAACGACATTCCTCAAGCGTATTTGGAACATATATATAACAGTTGGGTCAGCTATAAAACATGCACAATTTTATAATTAGATAATGAGCTAAATTGTTGAATTCGTCACTGGCTGGTTCTATAGCAAGTATCAACATCTGTATCTAGCATAAACTTTCAAGTAAACTTTCAAGTTTAACTTCGATTATCTAGCTTAAAGTGATATACAGGCTAGTCAAACGTGGAATTGTCTAGGTCTACGTATGCATATTCATTCAGTGTTTTACTACCTCTTCTGAGCAATATAATAGGAGTTTGCTTGAAACCTGAGTCTGCAGGTGTGGTTTATATTATATTCATAACAAGAGTATAAACAGACGCTTTTATGAAGTGCTAGCTTAGTTACATAGGTACTAGCTAGAGAGACAATACGTATTAGGCATTTGTAAGGCATTAGCTAATAGCGCTTAGAAATAATAAAAGTAAAAATATAACAGTTGTCTAACAGATAACTTTACAGTATGCTTGAAAGTTTCTGTTGTCCGGGGCTGCGTGTGCTTTTGCCCTCTGCTCTCCATGGATGTCAGTCCTGGTCATGCAGTATCTCAGATTAAGCTGATGGATGGTGGGCCCGGCGCTGACCTTCTGGAGGCTTTGCATAGTGAGTCTCTATCATCCGATGCCGTCTCTTTGAAAGCAGCTAGCATTTGGTGGTGAGGTATTGGAGGCCGCTGGAGCAGTATACAGTATGGTGGCATCCCTCCAGCCCCAGGCTGTTGCATGGGCCTGCATCTCTGTGCCACGAACTCTGCAGCTTCTGGAGCCCGAGTTTCCTCCCCTTTCAGGGGTAGCGGAGGGCCTGATGGGCTTTGGCCGTTTGCAGTGTTGGAACCTCCGTGGGTGTGGGCGATGCGTCCGGGTCTTCACCCTTTTGGCCTCCAGCCCGGGTAGGCTCTGTGGTTTGGGGTTGCGTGGGTCGTCCGTCGCTATGCCCAAGGGTATGCCCCCATGTCCCCGCTGCCAGGTGTCTCGCTTACCCGCTGTTTGTGCAGGTCCCTGCGTGGTCTGTATTGTTTTCAGGCGGTTTCTTAATTTTGCCCAGAAGTGTCTGAATATTTCGTTCAGGCGCTGTGTGGTGTCGTGGTAGATTGTTGCTTGTGGGAGCAGGTTCAGCGTGAGCGATTCGCTACCAGCCGCCATCTTAGGAGTGCCTCGTGGGGGATCTCACTGCCTTGTTGTCGTGCTGAGATCAGCGTGGCACACACTGTGTGGACCGGGATAACCCCCGCCGGTCCGGGGGGGGGTAGGAGGTGAGTAATTTGGAGGTTCCCACTGCGGTGTCGTCCGCGAGGAGAGCGGCCGCCTCTCCTCGGCAGGGTCCAGAGTAGGCCTCTTGGTACGGGTGCCGGTTCCCGGTTAATGTCGGGTTAACGATTGGTACCTGTCGATGCGCCCGGGTGTCCCCGGCTCTGCTATCACCCTCCAGGTGCTGTACGTGCACGTTTTTGGGGGTTTTTCCCCCAAATTGTGCCGATTTAGTCTGGAGCTCAGTCTCAGCACGTCCATGCAGCCTGGAAGCCAGGCTCCGCCCACCAGCCCTACTTTCTGTGATTCCATGTATCTCAATGTTGTCCACGATACTATGTTGGACCTCGCCAGCTTCATGTCCAGAAACTGTGTGAAAAACCAACAAATGTCTACCTGCAAATTGTTAGATGATCCACAGTAAAGGTACCAATGTTGTTACCACCCAAATGCAAAATACTCACAACTGGTCAGATGTTGTAATTTCAACATAGGTTTCTCCATCTCATTCCATACTTCCCTAGCTAACCACACCTCTATGTTTTTTTCCCCAGGAACCCCTATTGCAGAGTGCAAGGTGATATGAAGATCTCATAGCTGACCAGTGAATATACAAATGCCCAAGGACATTGCAGCATCCTGGATCTCCATAGCACACAAGAAAATTGGAAAAATATGATAATAAAGTATCTCTCAGTAACACCCAGGCCCCAGCAACAAATTAATAGAGCATCAAAACACACTATATACAGTGGTAATAATGTGTATGCTTAACACTCCCATGAGTGATCTTCTTAAACTACAACTTAAAATACAGTAAATTTACCAAAAAACAATACACAATGGGGTGGAGCTACAGCACTGCCCCGGAAAGCATCTCCAGTGGCCATCTGAGGAGTGGCCAGTGGAGGTGTCCCTAGGGGGAAATGTTAACTACATTTTCTCTGTACTTGTGCCTCAGATCTACCAACTTGTGCATGTACAAGTCTAGTTCTTCTCTGCATTGGGGAAAATTGGTGCATACTACGTCTCTGTATAACCCAAAAGCTAAAACTAATTCAGGTATGGACAGTTTTTTGCTCAACCTTGGATCTCATTACTACCGACAAGTCCCCATAATTGTAGGTTTTGTTTTCCACCAAGTCCTGTGACACTATAAGTAAGGAAATTAGGTTGACGTCTTTCCCTTCTAAAATGTCCTTAGGAGGTACCACGTGTGCTGGTGTGACAATGTGTGGGATGGGACTCTGTGAACTTGTGCAACTGAAACAATAACCTGTGCTGCAATATGTTCTACCGTTGGTGTAAGATTAACCCTTAAGGACACAACTTCTGGAATAAAAGGGAATCGTGACGGAATATTTCCATCATGTGTCCTTAAGGGGTTAATATCTGGGGACACAAAGGCCAGCTCGGGGGCTTCCAGCCTGTCTTATCGACGACAAGATTGATGTCATTTGGCCTGTATTCCTGCCAGGGTTTCGTTAACATTATCCCGAGAGCTGGTTAAAACACAGTGTAAAATAAAATTATATATCCTTAGATCATATATCTTTATAATGCATATGATCTGAGTATATATATATAGATATATATATATGAAGGCTTGGCCTGGAGTTGTGGGAGGGGCTTGGTTCACCTTTAAAAGGGCTGCCAATCCACTCCCACCTTACCGTTGCTGGTCTGGCGAGTCTGAAACGTTACTTCCGGTTCAGACCGCCATCTTGGATTTTTCCTTACCTGTTCCCTCGGGGCCTCCTGGTCCGGGCTTCCCTGGCTCTCCTTACAGTTGCCGGCGTCCGCACAGCTCGCTCGTTACCTCTTCTTCACGAAAACCGTATGTCAGGCTCAAGGTAAAGCAACCGCTGTAATTCCCCTGCTTTACACGGCGGAGCCCCATTCGGTTCAAATCTACGTTCGGTTTGTTTTATTGTATCACTATTGCATTCGTCTTAAATGCTTCACTCAGCTATTTGCGTGTTCACTGTTCAAACTAACGAACACTATCATTCGGTTAAATTATGCTTAAACATCAATCGGTTGGTTTAGAATGTAAATTATGGTGTATCTATTTGGTTGTTTCTACACTCTATATAGTTCTTTCGGAAACTACACTAACTCACGTATTAAGCATGAATTCAGCCAGTACTCCATGGGGATTTCGCCCCTACTGGTTACAAACGTTATTGCAGTAAATCTATTTATTAAATAGGAATGTTTTAAACAAAGTTGATGGGTCCTGATTTCCTGAATTTGTTTTCCCCACAGAGTCATCCGAGTGGTTCGTACTGGGAATTGTGAATTCTGTCACTGGTATCAATTTTCTTATAGGTTGGTTGATGTTTAAATTATGTTTTTATGAAGTCCAATGATACACATTACATTAGTTAAGCATGTATTTTACTCTTTTAGGTTGTTTGCCTTCAAACGGTAGCTTTTACAAGCACGAAAACCGTCATCAATTTCATTAAATCTACCCTCTGCAGTGTTGGGTAGGTTCCTTGTTTTTTAGGGCCCACGATCTGGCCATAACACTACGTTTAATCACACGTTCATATATCAAATATCATGTCCAACAGGTAATCATCTCAAGACTCTTACAGTCACTGGTTACTTCTACCGCGACAGCGCAACCTGACTCACATATCAGGTACTACGCCAGAACCCAATTTTCTCCTCTACCATGTTCTGAGGGGTACTGGTCCTAGGTTATATGACCCAACTAGGTAAAAGTTTCTGGTCTTAATCCATAGGCTAGTGGTCCCGCGAGACCAACACCCCTCTCCTCATACTCGGAGGAATACGCCCCTCGGGCCAAATCATAGCTAACCATCTCGCATTGTTGCATAGAGAGGGCCTCACCTGTCAGTCCCAATCTATCTTATGCTTTAACTACCATCGAGAGGCCAACACCCCGCCACAACGTTCGGTGGCCTCATACGTTCCCCTCGGGCCCACGCATAGGTAGCGCCTCTCAAGCCGCTTGGCAATTAGTAGGGACTCATCTGTCACCATCAATAAGTATAATTGTTTCGCCACTTGGCATTTAGCTAGCCTTACCAGTACCCACCCAAATCAAACATTACAGAGTGATTGATTAAAGCTTACTTATATTTTTCAGTTATGTCTAATAATCCAGATATCCCTGAGGAACTCTCGCTACCCTACACTCCCGCTAGGCCTGGTACCCCTGTTCCTGGAACAGACATTGCTAGTCCTGCTTCTCTCAGATCATGGACCATCCCACGTCTCACGGCAGAACTTAGAAGACGCTGCATCCCTTTCCC